AACAAGTTGCCACTGCCAGCTGGAGACTTAAACTAAAAATAACAGTTCAAAAATATTTTTCATCTTGAAGTAGTCGTCTTGGTGGATTTTATGCTTCTCTTCATGGCCTCTAGAGACAAAATCATGAATCGGCACTGTTGTTCCACTTTTGCTACTAGAATGTGTGTCTAGCAGCAGTTTCTAATGGAGTGTCAGGATATGGAAGGTATTTCTAGCGGCATTGGAAATTAGACTTTGCTGGCTATCTTTAGTTTGTCATTCAGCAATGGCATGGTCAGCAATGTTGGTATCTAATTCAAGCATTTAATAATTAAACTTCAAAGCTAACATAATTTCATGATCAATGGGGGAAGTTCATACTTCTTCCTTTTGGCTGCAGATGTTTGGTTGCAGATTCAACAAGACGAAAGTGCGTTCGTTTACATGAGAAAGCGATATTTGCAGCCATGTTGGCTAGACTTTTTTTTTTTTTTTTTTTAAATTCTATGCTCATCTTCGTTTTCTTTGCTCTGGTTAATAAAGTTAAAACTCTCTGCTTAATTTGCAGAATCTGTGGAATGTACCGAACTAGGTTAGTCCAGTGGTTTTCTATTGTCAGGTAGCACTACAGAAATCTTATCCTTGTTGCTTTTTCTCAATAGAGAAGATTTCCATTTAGTTTTCTTAGAAGTTGAATCCTTTAAGAACAGCTTTTCTCTTCCTCAATGAAGAGTGTAAAATAAGAACCCTTCCAAGTAGTCTGAATAATAAGTCTTTCCCTTCAATCAGGTTTCACTAACTTATTACTTAATTCAGAATTCTCCTCATTGTCCAGTCATCCATAGTCTTCCAGCATTAGCATCAGTCCAGGTTACCACTAAGGTGCATGTATGCTACAACAATTGTCAGTGGACCTGCTTACAACAAGGTGCATTCATAAACGCACATTACTGTTCAGGACAGCACTTTAATCATGTGAGGGGACAAGCATGTCGTAACCATGTCTGCTTGCACTTCCTTTTTTTTTTTTTTTTGCAACTGGTTTGGCTGATCAGTGATACAATCTATTTTAGAACCTCAGTTTTCTTACAGTAGGGTTTATAGACTTATAGATTCCAAGGCCAGAAGGGACCATTGTGATCATCTAGTCCGACCTCCTGTGTAATACAGGCCACAGAACTTCCCCAAAGTAATTCCTAGAGCAGATCTCTTAGAAAAAACATCCAGTCTTTGCTGAATGGCCAAAACATAAGGTGTCCATTCATTGCTGCTGCTCTTGTTATAATTCAGTCTCGTTGATAGTAGTTAATGAGAAAAAAGGATTAAGAGAACAGACTGGAAGCCAATATATCTATCCTGCAGTTACCGCCAATCTTTTCTCTATTTGAAACAGGTCAGACAGGTTGCAATTTGGCTGACTATTGACTAGGAAACTGCTTTAAAAAAAGCATATATTCCCCACCCTATGGGGCAGCCTGCAGGAGTTCCCTGATCATGTGGGGCAGGATTCAGTTAAGTCACTGTACCATGCCCCTGCTCGTGGGATTCCCAGAGTTACTGAATATAGCTCAGCATCCTTGTTGCTCCACACTCACATGTATAACACGAAGAATAATCAGAGCAAGAAGGATTGTTGATCAGAGATGCCGTGATCTTGTCTGTGGGACTGTGTGTGTCAGTCTATGTGAGACTGATGTAGGTGCAGAATCTAGAAAACTGGTCTAATACAGTGTTCAGAACTGGCTTGGCCTCACTCATACTGGGCAGGCAAATTGTTTGAAAACCGATTAAAAAACCTGTTAGACAAGTTGAGCAAAGTTTAGGCAGGGTCTAAATGACTGGATTTTTAGGTGCCGGGAGCAAGGTAGGTAGTGGTACCAACAATATGGGCCTGAGGGCAGGAGTGGAAACTGGAGGATAAGGGTTAGACAGTGGATAGACAGAATGTGAAGGCCTAGAATGTAGTGTGTGTGTGTGTGTGTGTGTGTGTGTGAGAGAGAGAATTGGACTGGACGTATAAGGGATGGAGTGAGGCAGTTGAGCAAGGGGAAGAGACAAAATGACACAATGGGGCAGGGAGTGGACAGGTTAGAGTGCAAAGGCAGCATGGAGGGAAGATAAGGAGCATCTGTATGAGGTACTTGTGGTGCACGCAACCCAGACAATCCCCTTCTCACAGGAACTGCTTGACCAGTTCTAAATTCACATCTCCATCCCAGAGACAAGGTAGGTGAGGTAGTATTTTATTGGACCAACTTCTGTTGGTGAAAGAGACAAGTTTTTGAGCTTCACAGAGCTCTTCTTCAAATCTGGCCATCTCAGGCATACCAGAGTGTCCAGGCCTATAAAAAGATGGATTGCAAACCCCTGGCGTAGCATCAGGGCCGCCCGGGCGGGGAGAGGGAGGGGCAAGTGGGGCAATTTTTCAGGGCCCCTGGAGCAGGGTCCTTCACTCGCTCCAGGGGCCCCGGAAAACTCTTGTGGGGCCCGGGCCCCCAGAGCTTCTTCCGCTCTGGGTCTTCGGCGGCAGGGGGTCCTTCCGCTCCGGGACCCGCCGCCGAAGCGCCAGGTCTTCGGTGGCAATTTGGCGTGGGAGCCCCCCTGCCACCGAAGACCCCAGACCCCCTGAATCCTCTGGGCGGCCCTGCGTAGCATAATGCCACTCTGAGATGTAAAAGGCTCCTTGGACTTTTTTTTTTTTCTTTTCTTTGACACAAAGTTTCTGCTGGACACAAAGCAACTCAATAGCAGGAAGAATATTTCTTCATTGCTGAACCTGCACTTTATTGCTGTAAAACTCTTGGTTATTATGTTAGCAATTTCGCACAAATTAGAACTAGCTGAAAGTCAGAGACTTAAAGATGAACTGTGTAGGATTTTTAATGAAACTGGGATTGGGCCCTTCTCTAAGATTTAGACAAGTGGTCAGAAAGGGGTGGACATTTAAATTCTGCTTGTTTTTTATCTTAGAAATATTGGGGATGTCAAGTCAGGCTTTGCCTAGTATTGTTGGAGGATTTCTTAGGAGGTCCCAGAGGTGCATTGTGAGCCTTCGCACGTTAATTAAAAGGGCAAGATTGCTCAGTCTCTGAGACACCCTTTTTTTTGTTCATTAGGCATTGGAGTTAGATGGGTGTAAGCAAAACAAAATAGTCTGATTAAAAATCTTTTCCCTCAGTTGTTTAGTTTCCAGCGTGTTGTAACATAACGTTCCTAATTTTCTGCTTACCAGACATGTTTTTCTCCCAGAGTAGGTTAGACTTCAGTTGCTTATATAGACAAACAAACAGGATGCTTTTTTACAAAATTCTTTGAGACCTTCTTTACCAACAATACAGAAATTAGAAAAGGTTCAGAGGCCCAACTTGATTTTTTCATTGCATGTTGCCTTAAAAGATACGGAGGGGGTAAACCTTAGATTTGTAGACTTTTTCCCCATCGTTGGAGCAGTCAAGTGTTATGATTCATTTTGATATGTGTGTGGCTTTTTTTTTTCCCCTTCCCCTCCCAGATTGCAGCTGGCAAGTTAAGGCAAATGATCGAAACTTCCACGAACAACCCCAGTTTAAGAAAACAACATTTCTATGCTTCAAGAAAAGCAAATATGCTGTAAGCCATCTTCCTTTATATATAATGACTGATGTAGATTTTTTTTGTCAGGAGGAACACTTGTTAGTTCATGATTAAATGTTCCAATAATTAAACCATGTACATGTACTAGTATACCTCTGCAATCTGCAAAGTTGGGTAAGTATCATGAACGGATTAACTGAGGCACAGAGTGATTTGACTAAGGACTTGTCCACATGGTTATTTGGCGTGTGGCAAGTCAGACTTTGAATATACATCAAAGTGCACTATGGAACGTTTAGTGCACCATACCAGGGTTCGTACTGTCAGTTAGTGCGTGGCTAGCTTGTGTGCTATAGCCTGGCTTGCCATGCACTAAATTGCTGTACACACTTGTGAGCCAAAAGCCATTTAGAACCCAGACTTCCTGAATCCCAAAGCTGCATCCTGTTCACTGGACTATGGCTGTCCCTAACATTTGAATCAAATAATGTTTAAGTATTTTATTTTCAATACTTTACTAAGTGCAGCCTGTAGGCAGACAGCATCTTGGTCAAGCCAGAATTTCATGTATCTTCAAAATAAATGATTATCTATTTCCAAATGCTTAGGTACAATGGAGTCTTCTTGTTGTTGGCTTAGGTCACCCACTCTAAATCAAACCATGTTATGGATGTATAAATAACTTTATAAAAAAATTGTGTTTTAAAACATACATTTTTAAAAACAGTAGGATTATTTTAAAATAAACAGCATAGTAGTAGTGCTTGTGTGCAGTTCTGGTCTTAAATGATAAATAGTGGTATCATGGGATTTCACATTGGCCTGTCTTGATTACTTTCAGGACAATAACTTGTTTATTTTATAAATAAAATGTTTTTCTAATTGCCAACCCCTGCAAGCTCTGCTAGTATCTGAAAGTCAATTTGGGTTATTTCTGTCTTATGCATGAAAATCAGTAATAAAGATTCTGCAATCGGAACCCTTCCTACCTATTCTACAAAAACAATGAGGCATCTGGTGGCACCTTACAGACTAACAGATTTATTTGAGCATAAGCTTCCGTGGGTAAAAATCCCACTTGTTCAGATGCATGGAGTGAAAATTACAAATACAGGCATAAATATCTATTGGCACATGAAGAAAAGGGAGTTACTTTACAAGTGGAGAACCAATTTGAAGGCCAATTCAGTCAGGGTGGATGTGGTTCACTCCCAATAATTGATGATGAGGTGTCAATACCAAAAGAGGGAAAATTGATTTTGTAATGAGCCAGCCACTCCCAGTCCCTATTCAAGCCCAAATTAATGTTGTTAAGTTTGCAAATGAATTGTAGCTCTGAGGTTACTCTTTGAAGTCTGTTTTTTGAAGTTTTTTTTGTTGAAGAATGGCTACTTTTAAATCTGTTATTGAATATCCAGGGAGATTGAAGTGTTCTCCTACTAGCTTTTGTATGGTTTCAGAGTAGCAGCTGTGTTAGTCTGTATCCGCAAAAAGAACAGGAGTACTTGTGGCACCTTAGAGACTAACAAATTTATTTGAGCACAAGCTTTTGTGGGCTACAGCCCACTTCTTCAGATGCATAGAATGGAACATATAGTAAGGAGATATATATACATACAGAACATGAAAAGGTGGAAGTAGCCATATCAACCCTAAGAGGCTAATTAATTAAGATGAGCCCCTGATGGGTCCATCATAGGACCCAACCACACCATCAGGGGCTCATTCACCTGTACATCTACTAATGTGATATATGCCATCATGTGCCAGCAATGCCCCTCTGCCATGTACATTGGCCAAACTGTGTTCATCTGTGTACATTTTAATGTGTACATCTGGCCTCAGTTAAAACTGCCAATAAGGATATCCGTTGTTCTTGTGGTCATGGAAAGAGATGAAATAATTTAGAGTATCAGAGGGGGTAGCCATGTTAGTCTGGATCTGTAAAAAGCAACAAAGAGTCCTGTGGCACCTTCTATACTAACAGACGTATTGGAGCATGAGCTTTCATGGGTGAATATCCACTTCGTCAGCAGGGCCAGCTCCAGGGTTTTTGCCGCCCCAAGCGGCGCAAAAAAAAAAAAGCCACGATCGCAATTGCGATCTGCGGCGGCAATTCGGCGGGAGGTCCTTCGCTCCGAGCGGGAGTGAGGGACCATCTGCTGAATTGCGGCCCAACAGCTGGACGTGCCGCCCCTCTCCGGAGTGGCCGCCTTAAGCACCTGCTTGGCAAGCTGGTGCCTGGAGCCGGCCCTGTTCATCAGATGAAAGCTTATGCTCCAATACATCTGTTAGTCTATAAGGTGCCACAGGACACTCTGTTGCTTTTTACAAATAATTTAGAATTGCTAGATCCTAGTAGGATATCTGTCTGGTTCTAGTCCTTTCCTGCTCTTCTCTTAGGACTGTAATTAGACCATTGCACAGTTATCAAACAGGAATGACTTTTCAATTATCACTACTCACCTGAGTACAGTTTGAAGGAGTTGCCTTGAGGTAAAAACTCAGTATCCTATTTCCAGTCCCTTGATTTTACATAGTGCTCCAGATAATCCTTTTAAGATATTGCTAGTTGATGGCTAAAGCAACAAAAGGCAGCTTAGAAATAACATTCAGGTCAACAGTGATTTTGGTTGACTTGACTAGTGATCCTTGTTAAACTGGTTTGCATAATACACTTAACTTACACGGCCATTTGTAGAGAGGGATACTATAAAGTAAAACATTTTACATGAAATACAAATTGGATTGGAAAAGTATCCATTAGTATATTGCTATTTAGAATGACTTATTTTTAATTTTTTTCTCAACAGGGGAATGCAATTAAGACCTACAAATATAATGCAATTACCTTTTTACCATTGAATTTGCTAGAACAGTTTAAAAGAGTGGCCAACTTCTATTTCCTGGTTCTTCTTATTTTACAGGTAAAATTTGATTACATAATACAGATCATTATGATAAAGATGATAATATAAGTTCAGTTATTCAGTAATGCAGCTGAATATTACTGCTTTTTGTGACATTGCTATCATGAAACTAAAGTGGACTTTATAAACAACTCCAGACTAACTGATTTTAAAATTCAGCAAGTTTAATATGAACTTGGAGCAATGCACTTTATTTGCACGTTGATCATTTTAGCTTGATATTTAGATTTATGCCTTGTGTACCCTGCTTAGAATACAACTAGTTACTTAGACTGTGAGCAATTTGGGGTATGGACCATCCTTTTTGCTTTAAGTTTGTACAGTGCCTAGCACAATGTGGTTCTAGTCCATGACTGGAGCTTGTAGGTTATGTTTTCACTGCAAGAAAAAAAATGTGCATTCTTAATTCACGTAGCTAACTCAGTTTAATATAGTCTTGAAGGCATGGCAACCTAAAGCCAATGTTCACTCCCAGGATCCCATATAGACTTTATATTGAACTGCTAACACAAGTTAAGAGTTGCCATGTCTTCACTTCTATTTTAACCTGAGGTAGCTAACCTGACTTAAGAACACACGTTTTAAAGAACTTAATGTGCTCAAATCAGGGAATTGGATAACTTACGTTCTTCTTTGAGTGATGGGCCCTATTGTAGTCCACTGAGGGTTTATGCATGTGCACTATGCATCCGGAGCCAGAGAATTTTGGTTGGTCCACGCATGAGCCCTGACTCACCTCATGGTTTTGTCCGAGGTGACAAAGGGCAGGATAGACAGACTGTGTCTCCAGTTCCTTCTCACCGCCGCGTGGTCTCGATCGGAACGATCAGTATCCGCTTGCGAGTGATGCACTTTCACAAACAAAGTTGTATATAGTTAGTGTTTTAGAGTTTTACTATTTTTATTGCTTTTAGATAGTCTGTAGTAGTTTTAGAGTAGAATAAGTTGTTTGGAGGGCTTATTGTTTCTCCATACTCTTTCCCACCTCTCCCCCCATACCAATGCACGGGTACTGGACTCTGCCGAAGACCCCAGGCTTTAACATCGGTGCCTCCTGCCTGTATTCCTTCTCGGTCAGTGACGAATATCAGCACTGTCTCTATTGCTTGGGAGAGAACCACATTGCATTCAGATGCAGTATCTGCTAGTCCTTCCTCAGCCATACCCCAGAAGGTCGGGCTCCTTGCCTCCAGAAGCACCTCATGGAAGTTGCCATGAGGCCTCATTCAGATCCAGGCTTGGGAACCCCCCCCCATCTCCGTACATTTGCCTGAGACAGCCAGGAGTGCCCCTCTGGCTATGGAGCCCGAGTCTGGCACCGGCAGTATCACCGCTATGTACCCCGCGCCAGGCGTAGTTGAGAGGCAAGGAAACCCAATGATCAGCATGGCGGTAAGACTTCCTCTAAGACCAAGAAAAGGGACATTCCATCTACTAGCTGCCATCATGGATAAGGAACACGTGCCAAGCCTCATAAACATGAGAAGAGTCCTCACAAGAGGACAGAGCCACTGGTACCAGGGACAGAATCGCCAACATCGACAGCATCGATGCCCCCACAAGACAAGCAACTTTTCCATCATGGGGAAGTCCCCCACTCCGATGCCACTCTTGGGCGATTAGGGAGAGTTCCAGAAACCCAGGATATGTTTGCTCTGAGGGACCCAACATCTTCACACCCGTCTACACCCTCCACCTCTAGGGATATTGTGTCTTCCCTTCAGGACATGCTGCATTTGGCACACCACACACATCCCATTCTGGTGATCTACACGCTTCCCCTGGTTCCAACAGTACCGCCTATGGAAAATGTCTCCTAATTCTTATCTTCTTAACTTCAGATGAGTCGGATAATGGGCAGAGTCAGTCCATCCCATACCACCACGAGGACTAATACAGGAAGCCATCTATACCGTGGCAGTATCCTCTGCTGTAGCCGCCACAGAGCCACTGGTTTCCCACACTGTGGGGTCCATCACAACACCCACCGGATCCGTCATGCTGGCCCAATTGGGGACCTTGGCCCCATTACCCTCCTTCGGAGCCCCATAGTCAGCAAGGGGGACTTCACCAATTTTCCCATCTCATGCACCTTCCTGCAGATGCTCGACACCAGTGATGGAGGAAGAGTCACTCAGCCCAGTTCTGATGGTACCGATGGAGCAGGAGAGATTCCCGTCTTCCTCTCCGGATGCGGCAGTGGCTTGAGCACTCCCTTCAACCCCAGATAACTTCCACCAGTTTCAGGATCTTCTATGGAGGGTGGCAGGGGAGCTTTACATCCCTCTGGAGAAGGTCCAGGGTACCCAACATCAGCTCCTAGACATCCTTCACTCATCGGCATCAGATCTGCACCACCTGGCGCTCTTCCCAATCTCCCAAGAGTTAAGGGCACCTTCTCTGTACTCAGTACTGGCATTGGAGCAGTGGACTTCTCCACAGTGGAAAGATGTCGTCTTATGGGCACTTTTCTACCCTAAGGGTAGAGTTGCGTTGCCTATCAATGAAGCTACACTTGAGCCAGCCAGGACATTTTAGCACATGCTGACCATATGTACCCCTTTCCTCCCTGCTGTCCCTAATCTTCTGATTCAGCACAATGGCAGCATCAGCCATCCTAATCCAAAGAAGGAAGGACTCCACTAAATGTGGTTACTGAGCCAAGTGGACACGCTTTGCTTCCTGGGTGGAACACAAAGGATTTTCCCAGAAGCAGGGGCGATTCCCCTCCTCCTTGACTACCTATTGTCCTTGAAGGCATTGGGTCTTGCCCACAGCTTCCTCGAAGTCCACCGAGCAGCAATTAGCACCCTCCCCCCCTGTGGAATGACCTTCCATCTTTAGCTACCTGTTGACTGTTCGGTTTTTGGAAAGGCCTCATTAGAACCTTCCTACCTGTTTCAACCCATCGCTCCCCAATGGGATCTTAACTTGGTCCTATTTGTGCTAATGAAACTACCCTTTGAACTGCTGGCATCATGTTCAATGTCCCTCTTCTTCATGAAAGTTGCCTTCCTGGTTACTGTCACATCAGTGAGGGCTGGTGAGCTTGGCGCCATGATGGCAGGCCCTCCTTTCATGACTTTCCATAAAGATAAAGTATCCCTGTGTCTGCATCCCAAATTTTTACCAAAGGTCATCCCCCAATTTCACGTTAATCAATCCATTCACTTATTTGTTTTCTTCGTGAAACCATATGCTTTAGAAGAGGAATAGTGACTCCACTCCCTCGATGTCCATTGGGCATTGTCCTACCTGAAAAGGATGAAACCGGTCAGGAAATCCCCCAGGTTATTTGTCGCAATAGCCGAAAGAATTAAGGGGCAGGCAATCTTCACACAATGAATCTCTAAGTGGATTTTGGGCTGCATTACACTCTATCAATTATCTGGCCTCCAACCACCCTCAAGGGTGTAGGCCCATGCAACAAGAACCCAGGCTCTGACCATGGCCTCCTTCCATGACTTATTGCTTTGGGATATCTGTAAAGTGGCCAGGTGGAGTTCAGTTCACACCTTTGCTGTGCATTATGCCTTAATGCAGGACCCAACGGCAGATGCTTCTCTGTTGCAGCTGTCCTCCGCTCATCTATCCCATCTTCATCCTTGTACCCTCCTCCAACTTAGGTACTGCTTGATAGTCACCCTCAGTGAAATACAATAGGGACCATCACTTGAAGAAGAAGAGGAGGTTACTTACATGTAACTGGAAGTTTTTTGAGATGTGTGGTCCCAATCTGTATTCTGCTTCCCACCCTCCTTCCCCTCTGCTGCAGATCTGTTGATTTGCAGTGGAGAAGGAACTGGAGACACAGTTGATCCGCCCTGCCCTTTATCACCTCGGACGAAGCTGTGAAGTGAGTCAGGGAACATATGTGGAGCCATGGATGCTACTTTTAAATCTCCATCTCTGAATGCATGGTGTACATGCATAAACCCTCCGTGGAATACAGATAGGGATCACACATCATAAAGAACTTCCAGTTATAAATAAGTAACTTCCTCTTCCAGAACTGGTATATGAGACTGTTAGTCCAGAAGCAAGAATTTTTAATCTATCTTTTATGGGGGTAGTACCATATGACTGGAGAATGCTAATATCATCCCTGTATTTAAGAAAGGTGTGGGGGGAGTGATCAGGGCAATTAGAGACCTGTTAGTCTGATCTCAGTAGTATAAAAGGCTTTAGAACAAATTGTGAAAGGAAAAAAATAATTTAAATTCATAGAAGTAAATAATAAAGGGGATGTAATGCAATGTGGGTTTACCGAAAGATCGTTCCAGAATAACCTTTTTTGAAGCATGTGGGTGCAGGTAACTTGCCAGGATTATCTGGCTCATGTAATCATTTTCCTGGCATTTCAGGGGCACTGGCAGGGTGCACCTCAGTCCCTCATATTCTCTTCCTGTGTCACATAATAATGTAGTTTCCTGTGGGCTGTAATACTTCAGTCTAATTTCGGTTGTTGGGCTTAGTGTGTAGGTGCTGGGTGGTGCTTGAGGCCTGTGATGTACAGGAGGTCAGACTAGATGATTTGTTGGTCCCTTTTGCCACTAAAGTGATTCACCAAGTTGTTTCCTGATCTTTGTTCACATTCACAGACAATTCCTCAGATAACTACTTTATCGTGGTATACAACGCTAGTGCCTTTGCTCTTGGTGCTTGGGATAACTGCAATCAAAGACCTAGTGGATGACATCGTAAGAAATATTTTCTTAATGTTAAAATTGATGACAAGTTATTTAAATATGTAAGGGTAAACATACTCCTTTTTCCTGTCCCCTTAAGGCTCGCCATAGAATGGATAATGAGATTAATAACCGGACATGTGATGTTATCAGGGATGGAAGGTATTGTAAAGTTTTTGCTTTAACTTTGAAAGTAATGTTTTTACTAGTTACTGATTACTCCTGCAGAACTTAAATTGTAGATTATGTTGTACATTTAGATTGCAGTTCTCCACTGTTTATCGACTCTTATGTGTAACTCCTATTAACAATTAAAGTTAATTGCCTACATCCAATCCCTTGTGGTTTGAAAGAACAGTCACATAAAAAAAAAATCCATCACTGAATCTGTGTCAAGTGAGAGTTTTGGGGAAAAATGCAGAAATATTCATGTGTGTTAAATGATGAAGCTTGCCTGCATTGCAGTTCTTAAGAATTTCAGTAATCAGGAACTGTTTGAATAAGGAATGTTTCTCTCCTGAGATATAAGGCTCTTCTACTCTGATACTGTGGAAGTCTGCTAGGGAAGATGCCATACACTTGAAGATGATGTATAAATGAATACTACTAATCTTAAAAAATATTTGACACTTAGGTTCAAAACTGCTAAATGGAAAGATATTCAAGTTGGAGATGTCATTCGTCTGGAGAAAAATGCCTTTGTTCCTGTAAGCGAATGGCCTCATTTTAAAAAAATAAATAAATTTCTTGTTTGCATGGAATTTGTCTCTGGTGCAGTGTTGTTTGGCTTTCATTTATTTACTGTACTGTTTTGACTAGGCTGATATTCTGCTGCTGTCCAGCTCGGAACCTAACAGCCTTTGTTACGTAGAGACAGCTGAACTAGATGGGTAAGGCTCTTTTTATGGGATTTCTTACATGTCATTTTTGGCTTAATGGTAAAAGGGCCGAACTGTGTGTTGCAGAAATATTATTCCAAAGTAGTGAAATTCTTTATATACCAAGGTGATTAGACCTGGCAAAGTTAAGGTCATTAATTTGTGAGAGTTTTCTTATTACTCTTTCATAAATATCTTCATTTGTATTCTCTCTAAAATGAATGGCTTTTATGAAGTCCAGGTGACCTGGACTCTGCATAATATGGATCACTAGTGAGATACGCTAGAGTAAATTTTCGTCTGGCAGTGATTTAGCCACACAACTTCTATTGATCTTGAGGGCCACATGTTTATTCCCTACATTACAACTCTATAAAATCATGTATAGAGTCCGTTTGGATTACCAGACATTGCAGTCAGAGTGTGTTTTGCTCTCTTTCACTAGAGCTCTTAATTTTATCAGTTATTTAATTTTAGGTTCTACTTTATTTACAACAGCTTTCTTAAGCTTAACTACTGCATCAGGAAAGCAGTGGCTTTGAGCATTTATGTTCATCCCACTAACTTTACCGTTTGGCATCGTATTAACGTCCCATTCCCCGCCTCCAACAACAGCAGTTAAAAGCTGAGCAGCCCTAGGCAAAATACTGTGGAAAATTACAGCTGCACTGATCTTGTGAAATGTACTGGAAAAAGAGACATGCAGGGAACCTCTAAAAATGGGAATTTACAAATCATTAGTTACTGCTTTAATATGAGTCTAAAGATAATCTCTTGAACCCTTATAAAATTAATGAGGTAGAGGAAGAAACAATGTGTAGAAAGCTTTTTTTACACACAGTGCCTTTGCACCTTTTCCTTTTGGCAATGAAATACTATTAATACAAGGTTATAATAAACTAAAACCAATTTTTCTGAATTTTATTTTATGATATCAAGACATAATAGTACGTGCACAGATGTAACCTAATTCACTTATTTGGAAACAGCACTTTGTGCTGACAGTGTCTCTGAGGTGAGAAATCACAGAGCAACAAGGCACATCCTGGTGTGTGTTGTGGCTGAATGGTGAATATTACACCATTTGAGACTCTCCTTGTTTGAACTCTGAGGTGTTTGTTCTGTCTTAAATTATTTCATCGAGAAATGTAAATTAGAGTTCAAGATCTTGCCAAAGCTTTCCTACTTTAGGTGTATAACTGGGTTCTTTTTCCGGTGTTGCTCCCTCAGGGTACCCAGGGTTGTGAGGTATCTGACCATTACATGCTTTTTATCATGAAGCAGTTTTGTCTATTCCTGCTGTGGATCAGCTCCTTGAAACCACCAGCCCCTGGCAGCAGCAGATCTTGCTTTTTCCGCATGGGTAGCGACAGGCACACACCAGCCCTGAATACACAAAGCTTTGCCTGCAGCATCCCCAGCCCCTTATCCACTGAACACTCACAGGATTACCAGGCCTGTTATTCCCAAAGATACAGTGTACACCAGCTTGCAAGATTCAACTCGGGACCAGCACTTTGCTCCACAGCACTTAGATATATTCGTTGTGAAAACAAGAATAAATTTATTAAATAATAAAGATTGAACTGAGAGTTGAAGTGAGAGTAAGTAAGAATACTGGAAACAAATGGGTACATATAAAAAAATCTTAATGTGCTTTCTAGAGACTATACTTAACTAACAATTTACTCTCTTGTCCAAATAAGTTTCTCATCTAAAGTTCTCTCCAGTGTTTTCAGCTAAGCCTGGTTGAGACCCCTCTTTCATGAAACAAAATCACTGTCCTTTTACTTCCTCAGTGAAGGGTACCCAGGCAACTCCCCTGTTCCCCCAAATATACTCAAGCAAACCTTTAATGTACACCTCCAGATAGGGTTTCCTCCCACCTGCTGATTTTCTCTTCCTGTTAGTTTATTTCTGAAGTCCTCACAATCCTTCCTTTGCATTCCATTTAGAGTGATCATAGGAGACCCTTTGTGAACAAGACAGATAAACATGTATTGTCTGACAGAAAACCTATTTTTCATCTTTGCTGGTGACCAGCACCTTGATACGGACGTTAGGAATGTATTTTGAGAATATATACTCACTCCTTACATAGTACCTGTACATATATTTCAAAATGCTATGAATGCACGGAGCGACACCGGCTTTCATTTGAGACCATGAGTGACATTCTTTGGTGAACTAGAAAGTACATACACCTCTACCCCGATAAAGCGCGACCGGATATAACATGAATTTGGATATAACGTGGTAAAGCAGTGCTCGGGGGCGGGGGGGGTAGGGGGCGGACTGGCTGCGCACTCCGGTGGATTAAAGCAAGTTCGATATAATGCGGTTTCACCTATAACGCAGTAAGACTTTTTTGGCTCCCGAGGACAGCGTTATATCGGGGTAGAGGTGTATCAGACTCAGAAGAGTCCTGTAATCCCTCTGCACCCCCTTGCCAGTTGGCACTGAGAGGTTCTTGGCTCACATTTCCTTATTTACAGTGAACATAAGTCAATCAGTATATCCATTATGGGGAGAAATGAGCAAGCTTTCTTGTTAGAATTACTTGTGCAATTTGTGAGAATTTCAAATGCATTAATGTAATGTTTGCGAATGTGCTATTTTACCATTTTCTCAAAGTGGATGTGCACAGATAATAGTTGCATACGTATGTGTGTGTGTTCGTGTTACTTCATATTTTCCTCCTTTTTTCGGGTTTTGGTAACTTTTTTTTTTCTTCTTCTTTCTTTTAGTGAAACTAACTTAAAGTTCAAAATGTCACTTGAGGTAACAGACAGATATCTCCAAGAAGAAAATGCAATGGCAGAATTTGATGGTTTGTGCAAACACTTTATTCTCATTACAATTGCTCAAATGTAGCTTGAATAACTTACAGTTAAACAAAATGTAGAGCTCAGACTGGGCTGTTGGTAATATGTATATGGTTCTATTTTTACGCCAGTATGCAGTACAAGTAACTTGTTTGACTGAAAATTGTATTTTGCTCAACATTACAATCTGAAAGACAAGATTTTGTATCATGGACATTCTGCAGTATGTTGATGAGAGGAGAGAAAGGAGATTCTAAATTAACATTTCCATTCCAATGTTTTCTGTAAAAAAAACAAAGTGTTTTATATTGGGAACCTGTAGACTAGTTTCTATTACTCCTTAATATTAAACATAATTTTACTGTGCAAACACAAAGTGTATTTTATTTTTCAAATTTCACATTCCCTCCTGTTGGGACCTGAGATAGAACTGTATTTCTTTATTAAAATTCTCTAGCAATCCTGTACCTTATACTTCAAAGAAAAAAAAGTTTCTAACAAATTTATAGCAAATATGGGTAAAAAGTGGTAAAAATTCTTACCATCTGGCTAAAGTTCAGATTGCAATATTCAGTCACTCATATTTTTTGTTCACTTACATTTGTAAACACAAATATATCCAAATTCAAAATTTCAAGATGAGCTGAATTCCATTTTCAGATGGAAGCAGAAATACCATGTGACATGAAGTGACCAATCCGTAATTTACACAATAGCAATAAAAAATAACAAAGTCCACAAAAGAGACCATAAACTAAAATACATGAATTGTAGTTGTAGCCATGTCGGTCCCAAGATATTAGAGAGGCAAGGTGGGTGAGGTAATATAGTCTTTGGACCAATTTGTGTTGGTGAGAGAGAATCCTAGAATCGTGGAATATCAGGGTTGGAAGGGACCTCAGGAGGTCATCTAGTCCAACCCCCCGCTCAAAGCAGGACCAATTCCCAACTAAATCATCCCAGCCAGGGCTTTGTCAAGGCTGACCTTAAAAACCTCTAAGGAAGGAGATTCCACCACCTTCCTAGGTAATGCATTCCAGTGTTTCACCACCCTCCTAGTGAAAAAGTTTTGCCTAATATCCAACCTAAACCTCCCCCACTGCAACTTGAGACCATTACTCCTTGTTCTGTCATCTGGTACCACTGAGAACAGTCTAGATGCATCCTCTTTGGAACCCCCTTTCAGATAGCTGCTTTCAACTATCAAATTCCCCCTCATTCTTCTCTTCTGCAGACTAAATAATCCCAGTTTCCTCAGCCTCTCCTCATAAGTCATGTGCTCCAGCCCCTTAATCATTTTTGTTGCCTTCCGCTGGACTCTTTCCAATTTTTCCACATCCTCCTTGTAGTGGGGGGCTGAAAACTGGACACAGTACTCCAGATGAGGCCTCACCAATGCCGAATAGAGGGGAATGATCACGTCCCTCGATCTGCTGGCAGTGCTCCTACTTATACAGCCCAAAATGCCGTTGGCCTTCTTGGCAATAAGGGAACACTCTTGACTCATATCCAGCTTCTCATCCACTGTAAACCCTGAGTCCTTTTCTGCATAACTGCTGCCTAGCTACTCAGTCTGTAGCAGTGCATGGGATTCTTCCATCCTAAGTGCAGGACTCTGCACTTGTCCTTGTTAAACCTCATCAGATTTCTTTTGGCCCAATCCTCTAATTTGTCTAGGTTCCTCTGTATTCTATCCCTATCCTCCAGCGAATCTACCACTCCTCCCAGTTTAGTGTCTTCTGCAAACTTGCTGAGGGTGCAATCCACGCCATCCTCCAGATCATTAATGAAAATATTGAACACAACCGGCCCCAGGACCGACCCATGGGGCACTCCCCTTGATACTGGCTGCCAACTAGACATGGAGCCATTGATCACTACCCGTTGATCCCGAGTCCATTCATTCAGCCCATACTTTTTTAACTTGCTGGCAAGAATAGCAAAGTTTTTGATATAGTCTCCCACAGTAAAGTCAAGGAATAACACATCCACTGCTTTCCCCTCATCCACAGAGCCAGTTATCTCATCATAGAAAGCAATTATGTTAATTAGGCATGACTTGCCCTTGGTGAATCCATGCTGACTGTTCCTGATCACTTTCCTCTCCTCTAAGTGCTTCAAAATTGATTCCTTGAGGACCTGCTCCATGATTTTCCAGGGACCGTGGTGAGGCTGACTGGCCTCCTTCTTCCCTTTTTTAAAGATGGGCACTACATTAGCCTTTTTCCAGTCATCCAAGACCTCCCCCGATCGCCATGAGTTTTCAAAAATCTTGGCCAATGGCTCTGCACTCACATCCAAAAGATTCAAATTTGGAAGAATATCTTTACCACACGCATGTTATCAGCATGACAATGTATTTTTCTTGTTGGGTCATTGCCACTTAAGTCTCAAAAGCAAAATAACATCAAATAATGAATAATAGCCTCAGTCTGGAGTGTAAGCGATCCAGTAAGAGAGAAACCTACATTCCTCTCCCATATTGATCACCTTCACTGTTAGGGAAATACTCAAGTAAAGATATTGGCTGAAAGTCAGCTTAACTGAGGGCTGAATACAACATGGCAATTGTAGCGAGAAAATAGTTCTGCTGTATACGGTGTATTTGTAGTCTGCGGATGAATTTAAAGTAAAATGCCAATGGATTCACCATATCCAACATTTTTGGAAATGTAGCGTTGAATATCTGCCCTCAGATTTTCAAACAAATGTTTCATTCAGAACTTTTGCTTTTAAATGCTGTATTTTTTGTAACCGAATCCAATGCTATTCCTGTAAAAGGACTAAAGTAAAATCCTGTATAGTATTTCATAACGTCATTGGTATTGATCATTACATTTTTAAAATTTTAATATTTTATTAGGTTTTATTGAATGCGAAGAACCCAATAATCGCCTAGACAAGTTTACAGGAACATTATTCTGGAGAAGCAGGACTTATCCACTGGATGCTGATAAAATTTTGTTGCGTGGCTGTAAAATCAGGAATACAGACTTCTGCCATGGAGTGGTCATATTTGCAGGTATTTATATAACAAACAGAAGTATATGAATTAAGTACAGCAAGATCACTAGGTAAAAGCTGCATCCCATAACTGTCCAGCATAGGCACTTCCATTAACTTCAATTGAAGCTCTTGTGTGAAGGATAGATCCCTGAACACCCCACCTTTAAAAGGTGCAGAATCTTCAATTCCAGTTGTTTCCTGTATCAGAGTCTGCAAACTTACAAGGTCTAGTACACTTTTTTATGAAATGATATTCACGCTTGATGTCTTTCTTTTTATTTTTATGAATTTTGTTTTTGTGTTGTTTTTTTTTTTTAGGAGGAGACACAAAAATAATGAAAAATAGTGGAAAGACCAGATTTAAAAGGACTAAAATTGACTCTCTCATGAACTACATGGTTTACACGGTAACAGACTTTGATTGGTTTTTTTTTGTTTATTCTGTTACATTTTTGGAGTTCATGCTCTATAGGTGTGAATGTTGTCCTGTTATGCCTAGTTTCAATAATCATTATTCATAGTGCGACATACTATCAAGTATGTTCAGGCCCAAATTTAGGCACTAACCTTGCAAGTGCCACATGGGTGGATCCCACTTTGTGGTTAGACACTCAATGTCAATGGGCTTTGTGTCAGTGGTGGGCCTGCCTGTCTAGAACAGCAAGTAAGGTTGAGGCTTTATTATAAAGGAAAACAATTACAAAGTGAGTAAACAAAATTTCATTGATTTTTTTTTTTTTAACAAATGCTCATTTTTTATTTTAAAATTAATTTTAAACATTTCACCTGCAATGTTATAAACTTTGGTTAAGTTAGACTTGAACTAAAACAAAAAAAAATTGGCCCCCAGGCACTTCACTGTTGCTAGTTTCATTTCCAAACGGAATTAAAATGCAATAGTTAAGTTATCTGCATATAGTAAAATGTGAAAATTAGACCTTAAAAACGTCTTCAGTTCAAACACAGGTCAATTTGAGGAAAAATCTGTCATATGTTCATAACACAGGTAAAGACGTAGTGTCTTTGTAATTATTAATATCTTGGCAAATGTCCTCTTTTAAAACAGAACTTTCAAGGGAAAGGTTGCCCTAGTAGATCTGTTTTTCATTTTATTGAATAACTACTAAGAATACGTCTCATGAGAATCTTCATAGAGGTCAAGGTTGGGAATCCAGCCTAGCAAATAAGGCCATTGACTTACAAAAAACACTCTTGGCACTTTATGTTCTAGATCTTTGTTGTATTGATCCTCCTGTCAGCTGGCCTTGCTATTGGACACACTTATTGGGAGCAACAGATTGGCAATACTTCTTGGTACCTCTATGATGGTGAAGACTACAGCCCTCCGTACCGTGGCTTCCTTAATTTTTGGGGCTACATCATTGTTCTTAACACTATGGTTCCCATTTCTCTCTATGTGAGGTAACTAAATCTCTGTTTTTAAAGTTGAAAATGTGGTGGGTGTGGAGTAAAATAAATTGTATTTCCATTTGATGCGGTTTCCTCCAATCTCCCGTTCCCAAAAAAATGTTGTGTTCTTTTCCTCTTACTGATATTTTCAAAGGAAGGTGAGCCATACTGTGTGTCCCTAGGCTGTACAAAACTTGACTGAAATGCAAAATTAATGTTAAAAACACTTGGCCTCTTTAATAAATTTAATACTGTGTGGTGGTAAATTGCACACATGAACAAATTACTTCTCCAATATTCAAACAATGTACAGTGATAGGTCAGATCCTGAAAGAATTTACTTCTGTGTGTAAGCTAGTTCTGTACAGGCCTATTGAGAAACTGCATGGAAGAAGCTGCTTACAAGATTAGGCCCTATGTTGAATTTTTTCATATGTTCTACATTCAGCTTTTTTAAGACGGAGAACTGGCTCACACTTCATGTTTTACTGAAAAGTACTTTGAATTTTGGCTGTCAGTCTAGTATTCAATTAGCCCCCAAGATGATGTCTACTTTGTAGTTACATTTTACTATTGAATATAGTTTTCTCTCCAGTGGTGGTAATATGGGATCACCTTTGACATGCTCCATTTGGGGTCTCTTATCTGACTTGTACTGGACTGTTTAAACTGAGCTGTGCACTTTTAATCGATTGTTTTGAGTAGCTTGTATCCTGGGTGAGTTTTTGGACATAAACTAGCTCCTTTGTATAATTTCTAAATATTAACACATCCGATAACATGGGTTTATTTGCTTTACTGGTGTCCTTGAAAATCCATTCAGAACTTGATAGATCTATATAATGTCTTTGCATTTTAATGTATAGCAACCTGTTAATGGTATGATCTTGCTGTTGTGTTTTACTCAATTAGTGTTGAAGTGATTCGTTTAGGCCAAAGCTATTTTATAAACTGGGATCTGCAAATGTATTACCCTGAGAAGGATACACCTGCTAAGGCCCGAACCACCACTCTGAATGAACAGCTTGGACAAATCCACTACATCTTCTCAGATAAGACAGGAACGCTTACACAGAACATCATGGCATTCAAAAAATGCTGCATAAATGGACAAACATACGGTAAGTACATAAGAACACAAGAACAACCAAACTGGGTCAGACCAAAGGTCCATCTAGCCCAATATCCTGTCTTCTGACAGTGGCCAATGCCAGGTGCCCCAGAGGGAATGAACAGAACAGGTAATCATCAAGTGATCCATCCCCTGTCGCCCATTCCCAGCTTCTGGCAAACAGAGGCTAGGGACAACATCCCTGCAAGTCTGGGTCATTGCTAACTATTACGCCTCTCTAATGGCAACTGTTTTTCAATCTTAACTGTTGCATGCCCACTATATTAAGAGCTTATTTGTTAATGCACTTCAGTGACACAAGTGTGTTCCACTGTGAAAATTCTGATATTCTCAACCCCCAAAATATAAAGGGCATGGTACCTTTTTGCTTCTACAAGGACAGAGATCCAGCTGGTTCTGAGGGATGAACATGAGATTGCCTCTTCAAAAACATTTTCTCCCCTGTTCCACTCTCTGCACTCCCAGCTTGCGTGTAGCAGACAGAGGGGCAGGGATGGGGGGAGATGGCTATGGGAATCGGGCACTTTGCACACTAACCCCACAGAACACTTTGTGGCTATATTAATGATAATCCAATCAGCATTAACTCACTCACTCTGGACTCTATAAATCTCCGTTTTGGGGGAACTAATTGGTGGGTAGAGGGGTGAGCAGTACAATTTCTGAAGGAGCTTTACAGAGGGAGCAGAAAAAGGGACCAGGCACCATTATGCTGGTTTTCTGGCTCAATTTGCGTGGTCTCTGCCTGTCTAGTTAAGCTGGTTGGAACGCTTTTGGCTAACAGCATATTTTGACAAAACGTTAGTTTTGTCAAAGCTGAAATATTTCATGGCGATTGTATCTTTTTTGATTTAAGTTTTTCGTCAAGAGGGGAGAAGAAAAGAGAGAGAGAGAGAGACTCTTTAACCTGGTGGCTGTGGCAGTGGGCTGGATTGTAGGAGACCCAGATTCAAGATCCTACTCTGCTTGGTTCAGAGTGATCTGAGATGTAAACTTTGCATGATTTAGTTCCTGTGAGGAACAAAAACATATTTAAAACTTCAAAAATTGTCATGAAATGCAATTGTCATCCTCTGGCCAGCTCTGGTCCATGGGATCTGCTGGTTCTACTTCTTGCTTCACCTGAAGGGTGCAGATGTGCCAGTTTTGGTTAAACTTTCCTGACTAAATGATTGCTGCTAAAGTTATTCAAAATTGCTGTTGTTTTTTAGCCATTTTTAAAAGAGCCATAGCATAAAAAAAATTATAGCTGGTATTTAAGTCAATGCTGAGTAGAAATTATTGGAAATTTTGCCAAAGGAAAATTCTGTCTGTCAAAAAATGCTGATTTCTCAAAAGCAATATGTTTCACTGAAATATGTTGCCTTTCAGAAATTCATTTAGAACCAAATTTTGCAGAAAAGATGTTACAAAAAGGTCAAAAATGGAACTTTTGACTTTATTGAAACAGCATGTTTGACCTTTCATTTTGAAACTACCTTTGGTTTAATTTATTATATATTCTAAAATGAAAAATAAAATTTGAACAAAATGTTTTAATCAACCCAAAACTAATTTTGTTTGTTTTTGGTTTTGGTTTTTTTGGTGTTTTAGTTCACAGGATTTTTTTTTTTTAATTTTGTTATGTAACAAAAAATCAGGTTCCCACAAGCTCTAATGCTGGCTGTGATTTTGAAGCTGTACTCCCATTTAAAGTTAATTGGAGTTTTATCATTGACTTCAGTGGAAACAGAGTTAAGCCAACACAGAGCACTTTTGAAAATTAAACCCTATATACTGTGAAATGATGGGTGCCAAAAAAAACCTAGATACACTGAAATTCCCTTTAATTTGTATTCTGTCTACTTTGAGCACTAGACATTGAAATTGTCAGATACTTACCTTTAAGATTTCAGAACAATATTGTTTCCATTACAGGAGAATCCAGGGATGAGTCTGGACGACATCAAAACCATGAAGAGGTAACTCAGTTGACTTGTTTCACTAAGAATGTGTTGAAAACACTGGGGCTTTGAAATAGGAGGTTTAGGATTTAATTTTTCTTTTAATTTAGGGGATTTTTGCCCCCCAAGTAATGAGAGGCTTTTATCTAGGCATGAAGTAATTGCATTCACCTCAAATTCTGTTCATTTTTTCCTAATCCAGCAAGTTGATTTTAGCTGGAACATGTATGCAGATGGGAAACTCGCTTTTTGTGATCATTATCTGATAGAACAAATTAGATGTGGAAAGGAGACTGAAGTTCGACAATTCTTTTTTCTGCTTGCAATTTGCCACACGGTAATGGTGGATGCTTCTGATGGTGAGTATTCTGTGTAAAATGGACACATGGTAGCTTCAACTTTAACATCATTCACACAAGTGAGATGGAACACCAGGCTACTGTATAAATCCTAAGCTAGTGCTTGCGCTAAAGATGCCCATCTCTACATGTGCCATGAAGTCTCAAATTTGACTTTTGAATTGTCACAATTTTGACATAAATATATATTAAATACCTGCTTCAATAAACATTTTCTGAATCTACGTTTTACAAATACAAAATACAGAGGACTTCGTGTTTTCGCAGTATTACACTTCGCTCTATGAAAACCTGTATTTGGTGTACAGAGTTTCAAAAGCATTAACACAAAATAAAGGGTAAAATAAACACACAGGTATAAGCACAGATTTTACATACACATGTGTAATTTCACGCACTTGAAGTTAATCTTCAGTGGGATAACTCATGTATAAACAGTTAAGTATTTGTTTATGTGCTGGCATGATTAGGACTATAGACGCTTTTCCCCTTCAGTAAATGTGCTTTTTCCCCTCATAATGGTTCTAATATATGCACAAATATATACAGTGCCATAGAGGACTAAGTTGAATAAAGAGGAATGTTGAACTTTGCAATCTGAAGAATGAATAAAGGTTAAGGGTGCAGATGGGTGGCCGTGGGGAGAAGTGGTGAACTGTGGAAGCAAGGATAAAAGTCTGAGTCCAAACATACTCTGTATGCAAAAGTAGGGGACAAAGCGCTGAATTTTCCAGCCACTCTGTTGTTCTGGTCTTATCTGAATTCAGTAACTAGATTAAGATAAAGAAGGATGTGGATAAATTGGAGAGGGTTCGGAGAAGAGCCAGGAGAATGGTTAAAAGGTAAGCAAACATACTTGTAGAGAGAGAGATTCAAGCAGCTCTATCTATTTAGCTTAACAAAGAGAAGGATTAAAGGGTGACTTTATTACAGTCTATAAATACTTGTGTGGAGACATGAGGATCAAATATTTGATGGATTTTTTCAGTCTAGCAAATAAAAGTTTAACATGATCCAATAACTGGAAGCTGAAGCTATACACATTCAGACTGGGTATAAGACATCCATTTTTAAATGAGAGCAATTAACCATAAGAGCAATTTACCAAAGATCTTGGTAGGTTTTTCCATCACTGGCAATTTTAAAATCAAGACTGAATGTTTTTCTAAAAGATTTGCACTAGGAATTATTTTGGGGAAGTTCTGTGGCCTGTGTTATACAGGAGGTCAGACTAGATGGTCCCTTCTGGCCTTGGAATCTATGACTTTATTCACTGTAACTTTGTGCCTGCTTTTCTTGGTCTTCTCTAATTAAAGTTAATTTTTTCCAATGGTTAATGTGGCCACAGCTTTCTGTTTTGAGGCTGTTATCTTCCAAAATGCTGCAATGAAATAAATGAGAAATTAAGATTCTACAAATAAAAATCACTTGTATGTAACCAATTTCTGTTATCTCCATTTTACTGATGGAGAAGCTGAGGAAGAGAGGTTCAATGACTTGCCTATTTGAAAGGAGTCCAGGACAGGGATTAAATGAGCTCCCAGATTCTGTCTTTGAATTGCTAGACCATTCCAACTCCGTTTTTAAATTAAATCCACAGTAAAAATGGATCCTGAGTTATAGAAATCAAAAGTATAGAATATTAAACACCCCATATGGCCCTTGATTGCTACAAAGCATGGGGTTGTTAAAGTCCCAACTGACTATAAATGCAACACACTAGACGAGGGCATCAGTTACTAACATATACTATGGCTTTCTTCCTTTTCACTCTATTAATACTATAGGTCAGCTCAACTATCAAGCGGCCTCCCCAGATGAAGGAGCCCTGGTAACAGCCGCCAGAAACTTTGGATTTGCTTTTCTTTCACGAACTCAGAATACCATTACTATAAGTGAGATGGGGATTGAAAGAACTTATGATGTTCTTGCTATCTTGGACTTCAACAGTGATAGAAAACGAATGTCTGTTATTGGTGAGCTGATCTCAAAAAAGCTTTATTTTTAGAGACCCCTAAAGAGAAACTCTCTAAACCAGTAGAACGGAGGTTCTCACACTGTGCTGTTATGGTTGTCTTTGGCAAAATGGCTGGTTATATGGTGGTGGCTGCTCTGTATTTCCAGCTGCTAAAATGCTTTAAATGAAACTGAAATACACAGAAGGCTTTTCTAACCTTACTCTGACATGTTAAGTGATTGTTGTAGTGCTGTCAAAGATATTATTCCTTTATCAGTGTGGTCCACCCAATTCTGAATGCAAGTGGAGGTGGTCTGTGAATGGATGCAGATATGTCCACTGGACAATCTCTGTATTAAAATGCGGGTCCATGTTATGAAAAGTTTGAGGACCCCTATAATGTCTAGTTCTTCTTCGAGTGATTGCTCATATCGATTACAATTAGGTGCGCGCGCATCGCGTGCACAGTTGTCGGAAAGTGTTTCCCCAGCAGCACCAGTCAGGTCAGCTGTGGAGCCCCCTGGAGTGGCACCTTCGATACATGACCCTGCCGACCCGACGCCTTCTCAGTTCCTTCTTACCTCCGTGACGGTCGTTGGAACTGTAGCTTAGCAAGTTCTACCATGTTTCCCTAGCTTTGTTTGTTTATTGTTTTCTGTAATTATTAGTTAGTTCTTAGTTAGTAGTTAGCTGTTGGGCTGGGGGGGTTTACCCTCTATCCTGACTGATTTTCCTTGGGAGGGTTTACATGCTCAAGTCCCAGGGGTTCAAGCCCTGCAAGTCCTGCAAAAGCCCATGCCAACAGGCGACCCCCATGACGCGTGTGTCTCGGGGAGGCTCACCAAGCCGACAAGTGCAGGATTTGTAAAGGGTTTTGCCCCAGAACTAAAAAGAGGCGAGACTTTTTGCCTCGCAGCTCCTTATGGAGGTGGCACTTAAACCACAGCCTCCACCAGCGTGGGAAGACCTGGCGCCAAGTTCATCAGTGCATAGCACCCCAGTGACAGTGACGGAAGCGGCATCATGGTAGGACTCTGGCAGAGACCCGGGCACCACCGCTCCCCAGTGCCAAAACCGGTGGGGTCGATCCGGCACCACTCCCCACTCACCAGCACAGAAGCAACACTGGAAGCCAGGGAGGAGCAGCTCTCCATCCCAGAGGCCCACCCCTCTGGAGTCAGCCGTGGGGCACGTCCTTGAGAGGAGCACCAAGGGCCGAAGTCTATGGAGATGTCACTGTCAACTTTGGCCCCACAATGGGGACCGTCAAGTTTGGTGCCGTTGGACTCCCTGGCCCAGGTCATCGAGGAGGTGGAATTGCCATCCACCCTGGATACCTTTAAGGCTACGAGGGACCTCATCGCCATGACAGTGCCGAGGTCACCCACCCTTTGCGCCAAGCCTCCGGTACCACATTGAGTGGCACCGTCTCAAGGCAAACTGGCGATGCTCTGTCCCTCAGCACCGCAGATAGAATCACGGCACCACTCGGGGCGGGTGCAGTCCCAAATCCATTTGGTCAGGTACACATTCGAGCGACTGGGTCTCCTCCTCAACTTGGGGAAGTCGACCTTGGAACCTACCCAAAGAATAGAATTCATCATTGCGGTGTTAGACTCGGTTCAGGCATGAGCACTTCTGCCAGAGACCCGATTCCGAGCCAACCCAGACATAATTCAAAGCCTCCGGCAATTCCCAATCACAACAGCAAGGGGGTACCTGAGTCTCCTCAGCCACATGGCTGCTTGCACTTATGTGACCTGGCATACCAGGCTGCAGCTCAGGCCTTTGCAGGCATGGCTCACCTTGGCCTATTGCCCCGGGCATGACAGCTTGAATTCAGTAGTCACGGTGCCAGGGCAGGTCCTCACGTCTCTCCACTGGTGGCTCAGCCTTCAAGCAATGTGTGAAGGAGTCCCTTTCCTCACCCTTTCTTGTCCCTGATTATGGACGCATCAGCTCTGGGATGGGGTGCCCATCTGGGAGACCTCCAGACACAGGGCCTGTGGTCGCAGGACAAGCTCTCTGTACATATCAACATAAGGAGCTGATGGCGGTGCGCCCAGCCTGCCAGGCCTTTTAAGCCTGACTACAAGGCTAGTGCATAGCAGTTCTAACGGACAACACCGCCACCATGTTTTGCATCAACAAGCAGGGTGGAGCCCCTTCCTCTCCCCTGTGCCAGGAGGCCCTCCAGCTGTGGAAGTTCTGCATAGCCTACTCCATTCACCTGGAAGTATCCTTTCTATCAGGAGTCCAAACAACACTCACAGACCACCTCAGCAGGTCCTTCTACACACACGAGTGGTCCATTCGGCTGGATGTCATACACCTGGTTTTCCAAGGTGGGGGTTTCCCTAGATCCACCTGTTTGCCACCCACCGCAACAGGAAGTGCCAAATGTTCTGCTCCTTCCAGGGTCACAGCCCAGGCTCGCTCACGGACGTATTCCTGCTACCCTGGAGAGGTCAACTGCTCTACTCCTTTCCCCCGTTCCCTCTCGTGCACAAGGTCCTGCTCAAGGTCCACAGGGATGGGACAGGGATAATTCTGGTAGCTCTAGTGTGGCCTCGACAACACTGGTACATGGCGCTCCTGAAACTGTCGGTGGACACCCCGGCCACGTTACCTCTCCTCCCTGACTTACTCACTCAGGACCACGGTCACCTCCATCACTCCGACCTGCAGTCCCTCCACCTCATGGCTTGGAAGCTTCATGGCTGAACTCCATGAAACTTCTGTGCTCAGAACAAGTAAGGGAGGTCCTTCTTGGCAGCAGGAATCCCTCCACTAGAGCCACGTATCTGGCGAAGTAGAAGAGATTCTCGTGTTGGTGTCACCAGCATCGTACACCCTCTCCAGGCGCCTGTACCTCTCATTTTGGAGTACCTTATACACCTGAAACAGCAAGGCCTGGCGGCGTCCTCCATAAGGCTACACCTCGCTGCTATCTCGGCCTTCCACCCAGGAGCATCCAGTGATCCATCTTCGCCAACCCTATGGTTGGTCACTTCAAGGGTCTGGACCGCCTACATCCCCAGATCAGGTAGCCTGTCCCTGTGAAGAACCTCAACCTGGTCCTCTCCAGACTCATGGGGCCCCCGTTCAAACCACTGGTCCCTCCTGTATCTGTCATGGAAGGTAGTGAAAGTCCCTCACCTCTGACCCACCTTACAGTTTTCCACAGGGATAAGATGCAACTCAGGCCTCACCCGGCCTTTCTTCCCAAGGTGGTGTAGCACTTCCACACCAGTCAGGACATTTTCCTGCCTGTCTTTTCCCCTAAGCTGCAGGCCAGTAACCGGGAGCAGAGGCTGCACTCCCTCAATGTTTGGCGAGCACTAGCTTTTTACATCAAGCGCACTAAGCCATTCAGGAAGTTGAACCAGCTGTTAATAGCGGTGGCAGACTGGATGAAAGGGCTCCTGGTCTCATCTCAAAGAATATCCTCCTGGATCATGTCATGCATCTGCACGTGCTATGAGCTGGCCAACGTACCAGCCCCGGGTCTTATGGCACACTCCAGAAGGGTCCAGGCCTCGTCAGCAGCATTTTTGGCCCAGGTCCTGATACAGCAACTTGGTCTTTGGTACATATCTTCATTTCTCACTACGCCACTATCCAGCTCGCCAGAGATGATGCAGCTTTCGGCAGAGCGGTGCTACAATCAGCATTTCCTTAACTCTGACCCCACTGCCTACGTAAGGCTTGAGAGTCAGCTAATTGGAATCGATACGAGCAATCACTTGAAGAAAAAACTGTTACTCACCTCTAGTAAGTGTTGTTCTTCAAGATGTGTTGCTCATATCCATTCCAAACCCTCCCACCTTCCCCTCTGTTGGAGTAACCGGTAAGAAGGAACTGAGGAGGCGCCGGGTCAGCAGGGTCATATATTGAGCATCAGGAAGGCACCACTCCAGGGGGCTCCACAGCCGACCCGACGGGTGCTGCTAGGGGGAAAAATTTCCAATGACTGCACACGGCGCGCACGCATCTAATTGGAATGGATATGACCAACACATCTCGAAGAACACTTAGGAGAGGGGAGTGACCATTTTGTTTGCATGCTGAAGTGTTATCTCACTTAATAGTAATGAACAGTTTTTTAGTTTTGATCTTAGTTTCTTCCATAGTACATGAAGTATAAATTCACTAAAACAATTTCAATAGTGGGCTATCAGACCATATCAAATTCAGGTTTATTTTATTTTATTTTATTTTATTGCGAGTGCAGGCACACTGCAACATATCTTCACTGTAGTCTCTCTCCTGCTCTTGTGAGCAAATTGTGTTTTGATGTTTTAAAAAAATGCTCTCAAAACACAGTTCTTACCAATTTCGATACCTTGTTTATTCGCAGCAGGGCTGAGGAGGAAATGATGTGTTTGTGAACCAGAATTAAGCTGTTGAGCCGCATCAAAGAGCTTATACCAGTATAAGAGAGAAACTTGATTTAGTAATTCTAATTCTAGGCATACCAGCCTCAAATGTCTCTTCCTGTTTAAAGAAGTTGTGTGTTTGGTTGCCCTGTTATTTAACCTTCAGTTCTCTGATGGAATATTTCAGGTCTTCTAATTTAAAAAAAAAAAAAGAGATCTTCCTGTTATCAGAAAACTGATGACATAATAGCGAGACACAAAATTCAGATCAGAAATGTATTCTTTATTACATCTACCCTCAGCTTTTTTTTTTTCCCTTCTCTGATTTAGTAAGAGAACCAGATGGAAACATTAAACTTTACTGTAAAGGAGCTGATACAGTAATTTATGAACGTTTGCATCCAATGAATCCTCAGAGACAGATTACACAGGAAGCACTAGATGTAAGTTTTGCTTTTTTAAATGCCATTTTAAGCTATTTGCACCTACCTACAACTGCATAGAGTTGACTTATTTCTACTTTGCTAAATGATTATGAAATATATAGCTCCATTGTACTACTAGAACAAAGTTTTCAAAAAAGCTGAATAGCATCCAAAACAACTTATTTTGCTGCTACTAGACGTTCTGTTGTTCGAAATCGGAACGTGATTTTTTCCCCCCTTTTTTCCTTTTTAATGGAATTGTATTTTAAATGTTTGCATTGTACATATTGAAATTAGTTTTTCATTATTTGAGAAACTTGCATGTCACTTCAGACTTTCCTGCTCCATTCAATTTTTTCCTTGTACTTTGCAGCACGTTTTCTAGACCTACCTAGATTGACTGATAAATTGCACTATGTACTATTCCTGCATTGATTGTTTTACATTTTTTCCAAATGATTGTAGAATCTTCTATTTAACACCAGAAGTGAAGGATTAGAATGCTTTCAGGCTGCAACTCATTTTTGGATATTCTGCAGTGTCCAACTTTCACCATACACTCTGAGTACAGTAGCAGCCAGTGACTGAGGTCTTTCAGATTGACTAGTCATAGCATGTCTTCTCAACTTCAATTTTAAGCCAATATTGAAATCTATGCAGCTTATTTCTCTTTTTTCCCACAGATTTTTGCAAATGAGACCTTGAGGACATTATGCCTCTGCTACAAGGACATTAGTCATGGTGAATATGAAGCATGGAATAAAAAGTTCATGGAAGCTAGTGTAGCTGCAAGTAACCGTGATGAAGCCCTGGATAACGTATATGAAGAAATAGAAAAAAACCTTATTGTAAGTTTGATACAGCATTTGATACGGTCTCGCATGATATTCTTATCGATAAACTAGGCAAATACAATTTAGATGGGGCTACTATAAGGTA